AGGGTTATTGTTTAACAGGGGATAAACAGATGGATCTGAAACAAAATATGAAGAGCTGCAAGAAGAGACTACATTGAGCTGGTGTTTCTTTTCTTCCAGGCTCGGTCCCAAAAGATTGATTGGTGGAAGACATTTGAGAACGTGATGGCTAAGCTATATCAGTGCTGTTGTTGTTGTTATTCTTTATCAGGTTGGAATACACAAAGAATGTATACACTGTGTGCTTCGCTGTTGATTATTTGTTTTTTATTTCACCACCGGATGTACATTCGTAGTCGCACTGCATAAGTCGTGAGCCTGGCAACGATCATAAATTTTACCTTATATTGAAGGACTCAAATGATATTGTGATTATGATGGGAATGCAACAATCCTAGATTTACATTCTGAAAATTTACTTACTGACCGGGATTTCAATCGTAAAATATAAACTCTGACAATTTTTCGCTGAATTTTCAGAAAGAGACCAATGCGCCTAGACCGTCAGCACAAATACCGTAAAGAATTTCTGTAGGCCAAAATCGCGGCCCTTCAAGCAGCGTGGCTCACGATGACACCAACCATTCTGAGGTATCCACATCCTAGCAACGTTGGACGTAAACACGGACAGCTTTAATCAGGCATCCTCTCAACGGACCGACTGATGGCCTTCCGCCCTTCAAGCTGTTCCATTCTCAACGTGCATCCTTTGCCGGATACACCTCGATATGGTATCAATCTTCCCGGGTTGGGTGAGCATGACGCACGTCCCACCAGTTGAGCAGTGCTGGACATTTCAATAGTCTCCAAGCCATACCAGTCCGCTTGGACCCGTCACTTAAAGAAACGGATGATATTGTGGGTCCCTCTCCAGCCACGGCAAACCAGTAAGCAAAGTGTCAGACCGGATTCCCAATTCATCGGTCGATTAACTCGTTGATCGTATCGACAACTTAGGCACTCAATCAAAAAACAGCTCCCAGCCACGAGAAACTGAATCCACTGAGCCTTATCACTCTATTAAATACTATGTTGACCACTAGGCCATGACTGTGCCATTATCTCCAAAGAGAGTCGAAGGGTGAGGTCCTGACGCCGATGGGGCACACAGTTTCTTCCGCAAAATTCGGGACCCAATCACTATCAAGCCATACGGGTCTCGTCTAGAATGTCACCGTCCCAGACATCAGACCGAAGCCGGCTGGTCGCTAGCTCTTCACTCGATTGATTTACTTGAGACCCACCCACAATTTGCAACAAGTAGGCTGCTAGCTTCCAACAACTGACCAGGATCTCAATCGCAAAAGATAAATTGTACACTTGGTAATCACATGGTATTCGAGAGCACCGATTCCTGTTTTTCTTCCTCAACAGCGTCTAACAGCTTTAGTTTGGTTTACAAGGTTCCGAAGCGCACTAGAAGACGGTAAAATGTTTGGATAACTCAGTCCAACTTTCGTACCTTGAGTCACTTGCTGATACAGTAATAACCCAGTTTAGGACAGGGATACCGTGGCTTTAAGTCGAACATGATCATCGAGTTAAAGAAATATGACACTACATTCAAAGTTCAAACAGTTACGTCGTGACAAATTCACCTACTTGCATTACCAGCTGTAGGGCACCGTGAAGAACTGTTGGAGGAAGTTCCAGTTCTTTGATGGCTCCAAACCATATAGTGAACTGGATGAGGAAGAGAAGGATGTGTGTATGTGTAGTGAAACCGAGTGCGTAATGAAGGTTTTCATCCAGCACAGAATATCAATCAATGACGAGTATAATTAGAACACAATTGGTGGTTATCAAGCAGTGAAATCAAAATGCTTAACAATTTCAGGCAAAATTTATCCGGTTAGTAGTATGATCAAACAGTTGACTTTCTCCAAAAGTTCACACTTGTATTAAAACAAATTAGCCGATCGTAGGATTCGTCTTGAGAACACAAACTGACGCAATCGATTTTCCATCTTCTTAATGAACGCGAGAATTCAGATTCGCATGCACATAGTAAGTGCTCCCACGTGGAAGTCGATGATTTTTCCCCAGCCAGATAATACTGGCAAAGATTACTGGTGCAACTTATTGTGTTCGCTAAGTCGCGAGAGGCTTTTTTCAGAGATTTTAACTGTGAAGTGGCTGACGTACACTATGGGCTGCGATACGCTAGTACTAAATTTATGTTAAAATTTGACTTCTGACTACTCATGAGTAACACGACCTCATTTTTAAAGTGTTTTCTTGTCATTTTTCCATTGATCTATCTGTATTCTCTCGCTCCAGACCATAGATGCCCAAAGTATAAGTGGGGTTGGTTTAATTTTTTGCACTAACGTGTACTATTTTTCTTAATTATATCTGTATTAATTTTTTCTCTTGATTGCTTCCGATCTTGACTACAAAGCATGACGATGAGTTCCCGTGTTGAAGAAGCGCACTGCTGTTCGGGTTTCCTTGACAGTTTCCAACTTTTTCCTGAAATAGGAACGATTCAGGTAATATCTAGAATGATCAATGAATGCTACTGCGTTTTTCAAAAATAATTTCATCGGGGAATTTTTAAATTAAAAAACTCAAAAAGGCACTTTGGAAAGGGAGACCACGTACCAGCAAATGGTCTGATCTACCCCAAGCTAGAACTTTCAAATACTTATTCGAGTGTCCATGGAGCATTGCGGAATTTCCAACGAGCGCTTCACACGTCAAACAAAGACTGATACCATCCAAAGCAGCAATTGATTGAACTTTGCCTGACAGCGGGATTTTTCGTAACGTTTTCCAAGGTTTGATCTACTCGCGAAAGAAATGTGCCAGAGAAGAAAAAAGTTTGCTTTTTCACGAATTGTTGATAAGGATCATAATATAATACTATTGCAAATTTTCTTGTACAGAACGATATTCGCTTATCCATGCTAATTTTTCTATTTGGTACATAATCTTCAAACTACGCCGTCGAATGATCCGGCCGCTCCGTTTTTAGATATTGGCAACAGTGCATTGCAAACGGAACAGCTACCATTTTCTACTCTGATGTTTCCAGGAGCTTTAGACGAGTTTCAAGTCCTTTCTACTTATTTATTTTAATAAAGATTGCCTGATTTTTCTTCGGAAAAGGGACAAGACAAATACTGTGAGATATCAGCATTTATTTTAACATCCTCAGTCACCCCCAACGTAAAACAATTGATAGATGTATTCGAGAAAGATTTGCTGATCATCTAATGAACAACGTGCGTCGGAAGTTCGAGGTGGCATTTCGCCAACCATTTCCTGCCGCATAGCTTGGATTGCTAAACTGTAATCAGGACATCAGTCTGGGCAGCAGAAAACAAATCCAGCTGTCCCATTGTGCTTCACACTTTGTCTATCAGTTCACCTGCAGTTGCATCTGCAGAACGAATCCGCCCCTGCCACGACGGATGTCCGAACACATTCCCAACCGGTTACTGCAGTCAATGATGCAATTCATTCTCAGGGGCCAATATGATAAGAGAAATCCAGGGTCAACAATCGCAAAATGTGCCATGACAACTGGACACATCGTTGACCCACTTTTGTCGTTCCGGCCGTTATTACGTAACGCGAATCCCAGGTTCATAGCCATCGACGAAGTGATGCTAATCAAGCTACGCAATCAGATTTTGAAACACTGGGTCCTCATTATTCAGTTTCTTAGATAAGAGAGAAGACAATACTGCGAGATGTTGGTATTTCTCTTAATTGCCTTAGTCACTACAAGGTTAGTCACTGTCGTATTTATATAAGAAATTTTTGATAACTACAGTGGTTCAACGGACAACAGTTAGGAGAGGGGGAGAGGAGTCAGTTCTAGAATCAGTCCTACTGTAATTTGACTGATTGCGTTAGAAAAGATTGTGCACACAAAATTTGATTGCGTAGCTTGATTAGCATCACTTTATCGAAGGCTATGAACCTGGGATTCACGTTACGTAACAACGGCCTGAAAGACAAAAGTGGGTCAACTGTGTGTCCAGTTGTCAAGACGTGTTTTGCGATTGATGACCCTGGATTTCAGACTGTCCTCTGAGATCATGCTGCGACATTGACTGCCATACTCTGGACATCCTGTGTTACAAGGGTCAATTCGTTCTGCCGATGTAAGTGTCACTAAAACTGCAGGTGAACTGGTAGATAACATGTGAAGCAGAATTCGGCGTCTGGTTCTGTTTTCGGTTGTTTCTTTCTGGCGGTTGACTGTTGAGCAAACATTTTCAAATTTTGTGTTTTGCGTCAGATTCACCCCACACCGTCATTCGAACTTTTATTCTCGATCCTTTGTTTTGTTGCAATGTTGTCAAGTCAACGTAGACTCGGGGCAAAGAAAACAATATACTTGTGTATGAGTGCACTGGTTTAAGTAGTAAAGTTCAAGTAAGATATTCGTTAGGAATGATGGCATTTCTCGTTTTGATGTCTTGAATTTTGGACAGATCTTCATCCTTGGTGGATTTACCATGCTTGAAAGATGAAGACAGTGAACATGATGTATTTTCAGGATTAAATTTGCCACCACTGAATAAAACAGAGGAAGGCTGGTGAACAGTAAACTGTATATAGGTACGGAAAACCGGTTGAATCGGTCTATCCCATGTCGAATGTAAAAAGAAGGACACACGGAACCAAGTCGGTTAGTGGGAGCTTAACTGGGTCAAAACTCTTGAAGGTGAAGTAATTCATTAGAAAAAATAAATTACCAGTTTAAAATTTAGAAATGCCCGTATTCCTGAGAACAGAAAAACTGGCATTTACTACGGCATACGGCTGAGCAAAGAGTTATTCACAAAAAAATCTTGCTTTTTTGATAAATCACATCAGGTGCTTAGGGAAATAGAAGAATAACACGTGATTTTTATGGCCCCAAAGGAACTCCGTATCCGGTAGTGACAGCAGCAATTGAGCATAAAATATGCAAATCAAAAACCGCTGGGAACAGTTATTCTTAGAAGTACTGGGGTGAGGTGGGGTGAGGGTAAGATGCTAGAGATCAAATGTTTGGCATTTCAAAGTATGAATGTGAATGGGATGCGAAGTGTCATTAGGGAAAATGTGCTGCGGTAAGAGAAACAAGATCACCCTCACGTCAGCAGATGTCGAATGCATTGGTTTTGACTGAAAGTCATTTTCGGATTTTCTTCAGGTAAAACATGGTATGGTGTAGTTAATCTGATTGTGCTTAGTTTGTTTGTAACATGTTCACTATCAACAGGATGATCAGAAACAGAAATTCGAGGTTATTTCATGATCCCTCAGTAGAAAGCCGCAACAGAACGCTAAGAATTGATTTATTTTAGTCGCCTGATCCCATAGTTGAGGTAGCACACTTCCAATAACTGAACCCGATGAGTTACGGAACTTATGACCAATCACTTCACCTTCCGCCGGTCCGGGCTGACAAAAACCCAAAATAGTCGAGAAAACTATTTCGTACCCTTTGATCTGTTTTTAATGCTTAGCATTATGCGTGTTTGAACAACTTAAGATATTGGATTACCTGCAATGTTAGAATGCACTGGAATAAGTCTGTATTCTGAACTTATTTCAAGTTTGAGTAATCACTCTACTTTTGTACTCAGTACATAAACATTTACAGTGCTTAAAACCAAAAGGTAAGTAATAATGATTGGGCGAGAGTAACAGGAAACATTAAACATATACGCACAAATCAATTCAAAATCAAGCAATTACAGAAGTTTCATGACCACAAAACAGTACACCTACCATGTTTGGTGACCATTGGCGTTTTATCGCTGTTTTATTCGAATCGGGGCGGCCATGTGATTTGTCCAAATCCGCTTGCCACACATGTCTGTCATCAGTCAGTAGTAGGATATGTGCCAGTCCACAGGCCATCTAAAACAGCACTCGTATGGAAGAAGACACCATACCGTGGGTCCATAACCAGATCGATTGGGAGCAAAGAACCAATGTTCACACCAATTAGCATTTTTGGCAGGATACATCCAAAGCTATATTAATATTAGTATTGTTATTATTATTTATTATAGAGTGGTGATTTTAATCCCAGACAACCAAAAAGAGATGAGGACATGTCCGTGAATTCTAACCGACAGTGAAAATGCAGTACACGATCAGTTTGAGTGTATTTCTGCATGCAGTCAGTGCGCTAGTGAGGTGAGATTCTGCACACGATATGCCCTGCATTTGTATCTCATNTTGTATCTCATCCGTTGATTAACAGCGTTTCAAACCAGACTGATTTGAAATGCATAGTTTGCATAACGAAGCAGAAATCAAATGTCAGCAAAGATGCTGACCAAAACTTTTGTTCTCTACTTGAAAACAACTTGTTCCATCAAACTATCTAAATCATCGAAAGAATTCCAATTGGTGTACATTATAGATGCATTATAGAAATGTTCTTGGTCAATTTATAAGTACCAAGCGCACCCAAAATCAGTCATGAATTGCAAAAATCATTGGGACAAAAGTCGCATCGTTTATCCAGTGGTTTGACACGATCCCCTTGAAAATGAGACACAGTACAATCGATTTGAACTGACCATCCTTCAGACTTCATCTTCACGCACAATCCTCAGTTCATCCAGTCAACCGTATAGTCGGAAGAACTAGACTCGAGTCTCACTCTTATCATTA